TTCTGATGTTACTGACAATCCTTGGCTTGAAGACATACCACTCCAGTCTCTGCCTCTATCATCAGATAATTTTCTCCCATTGTGTCTGTCTCTGCATCTCTTCTCTTCTTATAAGAATACTAGTCATATTGGATTAAGGGCCGCCATAAGGCATTGCATAAGCAAAGGCATTGTTTCCAAATAAGATCATATTCACAGGTACCAGGGTTTAGGAATTCAACAAATCTTTTAGGGGGACACAATTCAACCCATAACACCACATAATTCTTAAGAGGATTAATTCTCAGAGAACATACCTAATTCAATAAACAAATATCTCTTATGCATCGAGAATGTGTCTGGTGTTGTGCCAGCCCCTGGAGGTAGAACGGTTAACAAGCAAACTCTACCATTAAGTCAAAATATTTATTAAACATCTACATCTACTATTTATCAGGAACAGGTCCAAGAACTGAGAATACAGTAATTAATAGGATAAAATCTCAGTTCTCAAGGAGTTTATCTTCAAGTGAGACAAGATAGACAATAAATAAATTAACAAATACGATAATTTATGATACGAAAATGTGCTATGAAAAAATAAAGTAGGAAAATATGAGGAAGAGTGACTGGGGAAGGGTATCTAAAGAGTTAAGGAAGAACTCTATGGGAGGGTAAATTTTGAGTTAAGAGCTGAGTGACTAGAAGGAAGTGGCCATGCAAAGATCTTGGAGCAGAGAATCCAAGCAGAAGGGCAGCCGAGGGCAAAGACCCTGGTTGGGAATAATGTAGAACATTCAAGACAGAGAATGAGAGCCATTGTCCCTAAAGCGTATGAACTAAAGGAAAAATGAAAAGAAACATGGTTGAGAAGTCAGTGCGTAAGGGGTTTGGCTTTTATGATCTTCTCTCTAGGTAGATATTTAGGGGTTTTTAAATGACAATGACTTGAATGTAAGTTTTAGAAACATAACCCTGGCTGCATTCTGTGGGGTAGACTATAGAGAGAGAAGAACAGAATCAGGAAGACCACTGAGGTGACCACTGGATGAATCCAAACAAAAGACGGTGGGAATGTGGGGTAGAGTTGTAGTGGTGAAATTGGCAAGAAAAGAGTTAGAATAGAGATATATTTTACTAGAGAGGATGGAAACTTCTCATGAATTAGATGCAGGGTACGAATAAAAAAATAAATCAAGGATGACACCTCTTCATCAAAGAGCTTACAGTATAATGGGAGATATCACAGAAAGGGACAATTTTAATTCATTGTGGTAAGTGCTGTAATAAGAATAAGCCCAGACGGAATTCCCAGAACCATTTGGGAAAACTTGAAGGGAGGCTAGAATTCCCTCAGGAGTTGTGGGGATGTATCTTTCATAGCTGATGTTTTGTCCTATTCTCATTTCAAAGGCCAGCTTGCCTATGAGAAACAGATTACATGTGGTTTTCTGCTCAGAAAGAACCCACATCAAAATGTTATGTTTTGACAAAGACTTCTGTTTCATGTCTGCTGAAATATAAATGAGTGTGTATTGGGGAGCCATTTGATGAGTGGAAGGAGGTTTGGAACCAGAACATGAGATTGACCCCAATTGTCTCTCTATGACTCTACAGGAACAAGACTTGAGGCCAGTGAGGTACCGTTCTTGAAAGGAACCCCAGGTGAGAACATATTAGGGAGATACATAGTTCACTTAAGGCCAGTCTCTCAAGATATTGTGGGTCTTTAGCCAGCAAAGTTTCTCTCAAAATGTAGAATGGGCTTCCTCAGAGAGGACAAGAACTCAGAGTGGAATTTGCATGACTTCATAAGTTCCTAAATCATATTTCCCTAGACACCATCATCTTTATCAGTACATAACAAAACTCTCCTTAATATAGCCTTCATAATTATAGTTGCTCTGTATTAATCACATGAAGAGAAAAATGTATTATTGCCAAATCAGGTACAAAACTTTCTACAACACCTAAGCAGATACACATGCACTGCTTAGTGCTTACCTCACTTATCTTTTCTAATATTAGTTTAATTTGACCTTGCCTCAGGATGTTCGCTTCTCTTGCTGCTCTTCTAGGCTTCTGACCATTTATTCATGGATTGTTTCTCTTGTTTCTGTACCTTCCCCAACACTCGCTCTCCTGTTGATTTGCTGCTGGGGTTCTATTTATTTCACCCCATCTACATAGTAAGCTATTCCAACGTGTATTTTGTTAGTCTCTGACTTAGCAGGTGGATTCTCAAAATACGTTAAGTCCTTCAGGCAAGTCATGACCTCTTGGAACCCTGCTTGGAATACAGATTGTTATTACCATTTGGGATAGTAAGTTTACTTCACTATTCATTTGCCTAGTCATAGATTAGGAAGGAGGACATAAAATCAATGTTTTCATAATCAAGTGTGCTTTTCTTTAAACATAAAACTTCTAAATAAAATATTCAGTATAAATACTCACTAAAGTAAACTGTAAAGGAAAGGTCTAGGAAGAAAAGATAAAATGGAACAAGATTTAAGCAACTACAATTGGGTAAGCGCAGATTAGAGCACTTACTCTACTCTCAGCCATGAATATATGCATGTGCATAAACATACACATGTATGTATGTGCACAGATATGTGTGCATATAAGTCAAACTTCTGGTATTCTCTCAATTAATTTCCATATCCTGACTTTTGCTTTTTAAGTTCTTAAAACTTTCAGTGTCATGCTTGGAGCTAGTGGTATCTGAAAGCTTAATGCATATCTACTTTGGGCAGGCTTTTGTATAGATACTGAAGCCTTAATTGAGCAAAAAGTAGTTAGCATTTTTACTATCTTAGTTCTTTCATTAAGCTTTTCATCTGACTACCTAAGGCCATCCTACTTTCATTTGATAAGGGAAACAAAACCAAATCTCTTTGTGTCATTTTCTCAGAAGGCCTATTGAGAAAAGGAAATTAATAAGTATCGATTCTCCTTTCTTTTCTTAGGACTAATTTAAGAAAACTCTGTGAATTCCCATATGTGCCCATTTTGTTGATTTCTGCTTTTACACTCAACTTCTGAAAAATGGTCATCAACTTCTTTATAACGTTTAAACTGCTGCCACTTTAAGATGTTGAACTCTGCTGTCATGAAGGCTTTAACACATCCTAAGCAAATCTTACTGCAACTATTTTAAGTGAAACCAGAGAATGGCTTACCCCGAAACAGTAGCTAGTTTTCCCAGTGGAGAGAATTATTCCTTTCAAAACAGTTCAGAATAAAAATCAAGACCATCAGTATAGAGCATAAGTAGAAACATACTCTAGGTTGTTCTAAGTCTTGGTAAGTGCAAGGTGGAGGAAACAAGCAAAATTTAGTGAAAAGAAATTCTAGGTAATATATTTTTTTAAGATGTGATATGAATAAACCTGAAAGCCCACTGAGACCTTACAATTTCTAGAAGTGAAAGAAATTTCACAGCAGCACATTTAGGAATTAAAAAAAAAAAAAACCTGAATACTGAAGGCTTACCTCAGTGAAACAGCTACTGACTTGTAGAATCTTGAAGGCGATGGTAGCCAATCAGAATAACCAGATTTTTCTCGAATATCAGATTCCAACATTAATACACAATCAAAATCAAAGTCAGGCATCAGTCCTCATGCCACACACCTTTCCTGAAAAGGGAAAAATATGAACAGAGAAAATGACAACATGATACCACGGAGAGGTCATAAGAAATCACAACCAAAATTAAGCAACCATGTTAGAAATAAATTGTCACTGTATTGATACTTTGCACTTTCCTGTTACATTAGCTCCTAGCAATTCTATTATTTCTAATCTCTTTCTGCAGGTACTAGCACCTGATGCTTTTTGATACTAAATGAGAGAAAACCAAGAAAAAATGTTCATTGTGCATTAAGTCATCTCGTAAGTCTTTCAAGAACACAATTTGAGAAATGTTGATTTCCACATTGCTATACCCTCTGGTACACTGATATGTATTAACTGGTGAGTAATACATAAAACATCAACATTCTAAGTATAAGATTCATGACAATTAATGAGAATTAACAGTGGTTTTATTATATAGATACAAGTTTTGGAAAATGGGTCTATATATATAATGGTATCATTTAGAAATTCTGGGGAAAGTACAGCAATTTTATCTTAATTAAAATATTCTTCTGAAGGGATTCACTTTCAAGTAACTCAATGTTCCAGAGTGCTGGGTGACATTATCTTTTCAATAATACTTATACAAAAATGTAATCATTGTAATAATTTTACGGGAAAATTCACTGTATACTACATATAGAATTATTTCCCTCTGTTGCAGATTTTATCTTTCCTTCAGAGTCACTCTGAACTGAGCCATTACAAATAAGGGACATTGAGGGACATATTTAAAGTGGTGCTGTCTTCTGATGTTTGGGGGTATTAAATATCACTGGTTCTTTTGATTTTTTTTTGTAATTTGTATTTATTTCAATGCTTAGGCAGCTTAGTTTATTTATATGACTAGGTGACAGTGTATGTCTTCTTATATGTCATAGAAAACTGATGAAAAGTTGAGAAGTATAGCTCATCATGATTATACTCAGGTATAAAGAAGTATTAGATAAAATGGGGAGTAATTAAGGGAAAGATTTATGTCTTGTGCCAGTCACATGAATTTTAAAAGTAGTTTTACTTTTTAACACTGAAAAAGAGAATTTTTAATAGCGATTTTCTTTCTTATATTTACCTGCACCATGTATCAGTATATATGTGCCTTCACTAAACTCAGTGTGGGCTTTTATTTTGTAAATCAAGAAAATAGAGGAAGTTTTGTTGGAGTAAATAGGAAAATGAATGGAGGGGTACAGCATAGCTTTTGTTCCTTCAAACTCTCTGCTTTTGTTATTGTTTTTAATCACTTAGTGTTAGAGAAGCTATTTTGATGAGAGGCTGTGGAAATTTGTGTATCGCACATTTTGTTTTGGGCCAGATGACAAAAGGTAGTAAAAACTGGAGAAGGCACCTATGCTGAAAATAATACAATATTGTGGCTTTGATAACATTGAGAAGTAGCTCTCTTGGTGCAAATGTTCTTATAAGGGGTAGCAGCAATGCAAATGCTATTTGAGTGACTTGTCGAGCATCATTCTTCAAAAGGGAGATCCAGAGCAGAAGCAGAACATGATGGGCACCACGTATGTACTCTAGCTGATAGTTTGGGTTGCTAACATCCTTGTAACATTTGTTGGGGAGCTGTTCTGGAAAATATGTGGGAGTCATAAAGACCCTGGCAGTTCTGCGTGCATAAGTGAGAACATTTTATAGGAATATAGGTTTATTGACTTTATCATAGGTTTATCTGTACTGATCAGATTAAATGGCTTAATACTTGGGAGTTGTAAATTTTAGCCTATCTTTGTTTTATTCTCTGGATTAAAGTCAGAGTAAAGCTTAGATCCCAAAATATTATGTTAGGATACTTGGTGTTAGCTGTCTCAATGAGGTGTCATAAAAAGGTTCATTTCTCGCTCAGGTAAAATCTGATGCAGGTCAAGTGTCTTCCATTTTAAGTTACGTCGCGTGAAGGCCATGACTTCCACATTCTGCCACAGAAGAAGGGAGGGATAGATGAGGCACCTGACTCCTGGGACCGAACCCTGTATTAGTCAGAGTTCTCCAGAGAAACAGAATCAATAGGACATAGACTGATGCATCAATAGAGAGATACTACCTATCTGTCTGCCTGCCTGCCTATCTATCTATCTATCTATCTATCTATCTATCTAATCTATCATCAAGAGATTTAGTATAAGGAATTGGCACACGTGATTATGGAGGTGATCAAGTCCCAAGATCCAGAGGATGAAATAGCAAGCTAGAGACCAGGAGAGCCAATAGTTTAATTCCAGTCCAAAAACTGGAAAAAAAAATGATGTCCCAGTTTACAGGTAATTTGGCAGGAAGAATTCTCTCTCACTCAGGGGAGGATCAGCCTTTTTGTTCTATTTAAGCCTTCAACTGATTAAATGAGGCCCACTCACATTAAGGAGAGCAACCTGCTTTACTCAGTCTACCTACCAATTTAAATATTAATTTTTTTCCAAAATACTCTCACAGAAACACCTAGAATAATGTTTGACTAAATATCTGGGTACATCGTGGCCTAGTCAAGTTGACACATAAAATTAACCATCCCAAGTTCATCCCTTGCTACTGGGCACCATACACATCTCTTTAAGCTGTATTTAATCTTTAAATAAAGGCAATACCAAGATCATCTTTCACCTAAAATGATACAACTATCCTGCTTATAACAGAAAACTCACTAACTTCTTTTTCCCAGAAGAAAAGATAAAGTTCTTGAGTGAAGTTTACTATTCTCAATATCCTGCAACTTAAATACTATGATGTAAAGGTAACAATACTTAAATACTAGGATATAAAATCAATCAATCACCACCTTATGTTACAGAAAAAGAAATAAGAAAAGGAAGAAAACAAAGACATTTACTTAAAATTACATACATACAAATATAATCATAACAAAATAAGGAGGAAATACTTATTACAATTATAGTCTTTGTTTCTGAAACTGATCATGTGATTGTAGCTTGTTATAAAAACTACCTTCTTTCACTAGTCATTCTGTATTCCCTTTGGCTTAATCAAGCGCTTTAGCTGGTTCTTTACCTAGTGGAGCATCCGAAATCTTCATTCCTGAAGGGTGTGATGGGGTGTGCAAGGAAAAAACACTTGGAATATTTGGTGAGCCCTAAACATCTCCAATATGGTAGCTGAAGTTTGAAAAGTGAAAAGCACATTTGAAAACCAATTGTATCAAAGCTAGAAAACCAGACAGACAATTGTACTTTTGGATCATGTAGGGCATCTTTTATTTGGGGATCAATTCTACATTCTTTGCCTAAGTGAAAAAAACCTGTTGCTTTTATGCCTCAGTTCTGGGCGACTCTGCTTTTAATATTTTGCCCCTCCAGATGGATGATCTATCTACATTGGCTACTTCCTTAGGGAATCTCAGACATTTTCACAATAGAATCTGCATTAATTAACTATGAAGTGATCAAGGCTGTTCATTAATACAAGTCCACAGCAGACTCTACCATCTTATAGTCATTTTTGAGGTGTAAACAAGCCTCTTCATCAAATTTCTCTTCCTGTAAAACCACTGTTGGGAGATGAAACAAACAAAAAAATTGTACCACATTGACTTGTTTCACTGTTTACCCAGAAAGTATGGTGCTTCTGTGTCATCTTCACATCCAAAACATCCATTAAACAGAAATAAAACAGTGGAAGAAGCAGGTCTACTTATATCCTTAAAGACTCTTCCTTGCATGAGTCTTGTGCTCTACCCAAGACTAAGCCAAACGCTAGGTATGCTTGAAGACTTCTTGTTGATCTTCCTCCCAAACAAAACACAACTAAATATTATTATTATTATTATTACTATTATTGTTTGACTGAAAAACCATAGTTGAGAGAGAATGGGTGGGAATCCAAAAGAAAGGAAGAAAGAAAGGGCAATGATCAGGAAGAATGCTACAAAGAAAGAAAAATTAAGGAGACAATTTTACTACCACCTATTCAAGTGGTTTCCTAGGTCTTTGTTTACTTTTCTATTCTCCAGTTGTTTGATTGCAGCAGTTACCTCCTAGTTTGAGTCTCTTTCTATGATATTTAAAAAATTGATAGCCTTAGTTAGCTAATGAGAATATTAAATTTGCCTTTATCATCATGTGACTAAAACAACAAATATTCTCTGGCTTTAAAATTTTCAACTAAGTTCTCTTGGAATCAAGGACACATTGCTTGACCCAATTAATGTGCAGAATGAGGTTCTCTCCATCTCAGCTTATTCCAGTAGTCCAGTGAGGGTATTAAGCAAGTCGCCTAATTCTTACTTATTTCCTGTTCTTCAGTTAAGCAGACCCAGGGTTACATACTTTATTATAAAGATTTCTTTGGCATATAGAAGGGCATACAGAGTATGTGTACGTGTGTGTTGTGTGTGTGTTTGTGTTTGTGTGTATGCAGTCTGCAAAACAATATTTAAAGTTAATTTGAGATTGACTCACAGCCTGTTAGACTTTGTTCTGAAAAAGTGGTCACTATCACTAGTTTGTGACAATACAGATTTTCAGTCAACATGTTTGGGACATGAACATTTCTTCTCATACAGTACTTATTGCTTTGATGTTTCTGATTCCCTCCTTAGATAGGATTTCTTGTGTTATTTTCTTCTCCCAGATC